GCCCAAACAAAGAGGCAAACGCGACCTTTTGTCACGATCCCCACGGACGGCGCCAGTGTTGGTTTTTGGGTTTTCAGGCCCAGGGAGGTCCAACACAACCTTAGTTGGTGGATTCACCTTTCACGTGATGCTTATAGAAAAATAAGTAGAAAATATAACTCAATGCTTTTGTACGTGGAAACCGAAAGGAAAACCACGGGCCTTTTTGGGCGGTGCCAAGCCTAACTCAACTATGTATTTTGTAGGTGTCTTTGTACATGTTGTATGGCTATTTTGTATACGTAATATGGGAATATTTGTGTAAGAAGAGAGCTATACTTTGTACATTGAGATGGAGTATGCCTCTTGACGCGTGGAAGAGTGGTGGAGTCTTTCCATATGGAGTCTTCTTTATGTAGTCTTCTTGCTTGGATGAGTGGAGAGTGGTTGTGGAAGAGTGCATCGTCTTTGGGAGAGTGATGAAGCCATCTTGGGTATGAAAGAATAGTGAGTGGTGGTATTTGGGAGAGTCCTCCCATGTGTGTATGAATGAGTGGTCCCTTTCTTCTTGTCTTCCCCTCCTTTTTATAGCTAGTCCATCCCAAAAAGTGTCCGTTGGACATTCAGTAGGGTAGTGATGGGTGATAATTAGGGGGTTATGGATAATAATAATAATGGGGTAATAAGATGGGGTAATAAGTGGGAGGTTAGGAATGGTGAGGTAGTAAATAGGACTTTAAGGGTAGATAATTAGGAATTTAATAGGGGCTAACGGCTAGTTTTAGGCCGACCCTCTACCCGTGCCGATCCCACACTCGCGCCGACTCCCAGGTCGAGCCGACTCCTCGGCTTGGCCCGTATCTCTTTTGGGCTTACTCCATTTTCCTCTTGGGCTTTGCTTCTTCTTCTTGGGCTTGATGTCTTTTCTTCTTGGGCCCCGAGCCCATGGGGTTCACACCCCATCAACATAAACATGTAGGAAAAAACTACCACTACTAAATATCAATAGGTGTTTGTACACTAAAGAGTTCACATTACAACTAAAATCTCAGTCATATATACAACAAGGCGAATCTAAAACTTCATGCACCTTAATCTCATTGGATGATGAATCCCTCTATGCTGTTACCAGTAACCTAATTGCACATGACACACTACCAATAAAAAAAAAAAAAGAGGACATGTACTGAAGATGAAAACAATAACAATGCTACCAAAAGAGAATTAAGAAGAATTAGATAAATTTAAACCAAAAGTAGTATTTATTTAGACTATCGCTTTAAGACTAAGTATTTAGACTTACATTATTACAAAGTTGCAAACATTTATTTTAGTGACAATTATAATCAATCTCTCATATATTATCTTGCATTTATATACTTTAAATTACCAATTTAAATAAACAAATTCAACATTTATTTACCTATGCATGAACATCTCCTATATAATAATTCATTGATATACTTTGAAATACTTATTTAAAAATAATTATTGGGCATTATCTCATTCGCGCAAAGCGCGTTAAAAAACTAGTATATATATATATATATATATATATATATATATATATATATATATATATATATATATATATATATATATAGGGAAGGGTTCAGGTGCGGGTATAGCTTCCCGTGCGGTTAGATCTGAGTCGTTGATCAAATTTAGATAAACGGCTCAAATTAATGAAAAATTAAAAAAAAAAAAAAAAACGCGTGTCTAGAAGAAAGAAGCATAAGTTAAAAATGACGCACCTTAAGTGATAGAAACAATGGCGCACCTTTAAGTGATAGAAACACACACCTTTAAGTGTTAGATCTTAAGCACAAACCCACGCACATTAAGTACAAAATCCACACACATGAAGCACAACCTCACACACATTAAGCACAAAACCCACACACTTTAAATATTAACTCACATACTTTAAGTTTCAACAACTATTGACATTAAGCACAAACTCACGCACATTAAGTACAAACCCCACGCACATTAAGCACAACCTCACGCACATTAAGCACAAACCCCACGCACGTTAAGTATTAACTCACAGACTTTAAGTTTCAACAACTACTGGCATTAATCACTAACCTCACACACATTAAGCACAAATCCTACGCACATTAAACACAAACTCCACTTACATTAAGAATAAATCTCACGCACCTTAAGCACGTCCACACTTTAAGTTTTTACAACTACTCACGTTAAGCACAACCCCACGCACATTAAGCACAAAACTCACGCACCTTACGCACAAAACTCACGCATCTCATATACAACACTCACGCACATTAATCACAGATCCGCTCACCTTAATTTTGACCTAGATGTAAAAATTACAAAATTGCCACTGCGTTTTTTTTTTTAAAATTTTGGTAATCCTGCACGTTGATTTAAGCGAGATGAATGGCCCAGATTAAACTGCACAACTGCACCTGGGCACCTTAACTGCACCAGATATATATATATATATATATATATATATATATATATATATATATATATATATATAGGTAGGGATGGCAACGGGGCGGAGCGGGGGCGGGGAGTGTACTCCCCGTCCCCGTCCCCGCGACCCCGTTTCCATCCCCGTCCCCGTTCCCATTTCCGACGGGGAATTGAAAATATTCCCCATCCCCGTCCCCACGGGGAATTAGGCGGGGACGGGGATTCCCCATTCCCCGTCAATTCCTACTCAAAATGTTAAATTTTTAATAATAAAAAATTTAAAATATAAATCCTAGTTTCAAAAACTAAAATACTAACTCTACAAATAAATAAATAAATATATAACCAGGACTATGTGGTCCAATGGTATCCGGGTTGGACTTCCACTTGGAAGGTTGTGAGTTCGAGCCTCAGTGGAGGTGTTATTAGCTCTTTGTGTTTCAATAGGTTGAGAAAGTATATGAACAGATACTACAATGTAATAGAGCTAGTAGCATTCAAAAAAAAATAAAATAAATATATAAAATGCTAACAGTATACTATATATATTTATATATGCAATGAAGTATATACGACAGTAGCAATACTCCAACTTATATCTACAGTAACAACATTAACTATATATATATATATATATATATATATATATATATTCATTACATATATAAATATATATAGTTTACTGGTTTACTGTTAGTATTATATTTATATATATAAATATATTGTTCGGGGACGGGACGGGGCGGGGAGGGGTGTCCCCGTCCCCGTCCCCGTCCCCGTCCCCGACGGGGAATCACACATATTCTCCGTCCCCGTCCCCGTTCCCCGAAAATTTTCCCCATCCCCATCTTCTTCGGGACGGGGATTGGGGATCCCCGTCGGGGACGGGGCACATTGCCATCCCTATATAGGGTCAGGTTCTTGTGAGAACAGATCTTCCCGTGCGATCAGTGCGGCATACACCATTAGGTATGCATAAATACACCACACAGTGTTCGAAAATACACCATTATGTGTGGTGTATTTTTTTTTTTTTTTTGCGTGTTGTATTTTTTGGCATTTCATTCTGGTGTATTATCGAACACTGTATGGTGCATTTGTGCATACCTAATGGTGTATGCCGCACTGACCGCACGGGAAGACATGTTCTCACAGGAACAATATATATATATATATATATATATATATATATATATATATATATATATATATATTAACTGTATAAGATTCCTTAACTATGGAGCCTTGGCTCCTAAATTAAGTAGTCTGCCCATCTGCATGCCTAGCGGATGGGCATTGCAAGCTTACCTAGCGGATGAGCATTATAATTGAAATTATAGAGCCTTGAGGCTCCTTTTATAGGAGCCTCATTGTTCCATTCCTCACTTCTCCAACCGATGTAGGATAAATGAAAAAATAAATATAAATATAAATATAAATATGTAATTATATAATAATAATAATAATAATAATAATAATAATAATAATAATAATAATTATTATTATTATTATTATTATTATTATTATTATTATTATTCTCTCTCACACACACATGCATATACATGTAAATAAATAAATAAATAAATAAATAAATATATATATATATATATATATATATATATATATATATATATATATATAACATTCAGTACATCATAATCATATTCATTATTATTATTATTATTATTATTATTATTATTATTTTGTATAAGAGTATTTATGTCTTTAAAACATATTTCATTTCTATTCCTTTAACCAACCAAACACTGAAATACAATTACTAAAATCTATTCCTTCAGCCAACCAAACAATAGAATACAATTCTTATTGAGTTAATACCCAAAATCGTCCTCGACTATAGTGGTTTTTCTCAATTTCGTCCTAAACGACTTTGGTGACCTAATATCGTCCCAGACTTTTGTGTTTCGCTCAATTTAGTCCCAGACTTTTGTGTTTTTGCTCAATTTAGTCCCTCATTTGTTATTTTGTCCATTTAGTGTTAAATAAATACAATTCAGTAAATTTAATATTGGCATCTCTTTACTCATAGACATGTGAACTGCGAAATCCTTTTTTTTTTTACGAAGTACTCCCAGAATTACTCCTAAAACTGCGAATATAAAATTTGATTTGCAGGTCCGGGAGTAATTCTGGGCGTAATTCGTACAAGAAAGAGGAATTTCGCACTTCACAAGTTGAAAGTAAAGAGAGATCAATATTGACGTTACTGAATTGTCCCTTTATTAACACCAATTTGACGGAATAACAAATGGAGGACTAAATTGAGCGAAACACAAAAGTCTGGGACGATATTAGGTCACCAAAGTCGTTTAGGACGAAATTGAGAAAAACCACTATAGTCGAGGACGATTTTGGGTATTAACTCAATTCTTATTCTATTTCTTACCTATTTTATTTCCTGTGAAATAGTTTTCTTATTCCCTCTAAATTCATTCCGTGACCAAACTTGAGTCTAACATTTTTTCCATTTCTATATTAGTACAACATAGATTGGGCCGTCGTGGGCCTGCCAATTAATATGGTATTTTAAGTTAACTTACTCAAAAAAAAAAAAAAAAAAAAGTTAAGTTGTCAATGTAACGGGCCTTCCATCAAATCTTCTTACCTCCCCGCCGTTTGGCATCCAAACCGGATCTCGATTCAGAAAGAAGCGGTGGCCGGAAATGTTCGGCCGGAGGAGGTTTCTGTCGTTTCCACTCGTCATCGGCGCGGTCGTGTGAGCTTCTTTCGCCTTTTCCTTTCTTTACGCACGCATGCAGACTTTTGTTAAGATTAGATCCTTCCTTTATTTGTTAAAAAGTTCCAATTTGTATGCTTTTTTTGCCGAACTGCATAGATGATGAGAACAAATGCCTAATTTGATGGAATCAATGAGATTAAAGGTAAAAACAAAGGAATAAAGTGTCGCAAAGTGTTCAAACGTTAGTCAGTGCAAAGTGTTCGAAGAAATGTCTCAGTGACTTCACTTTTTATAGTTTCAATTTACCTAATTTAGGACAGAAGGCGGTTATAGTTGGCTCAAAGCCTCAAATGCATGCTTGGAGTGATAAGTTATCATTCATGACTGATCGATAGTATTGCAAGTGTAAGGAAAGTGTAGATGGGACTCAACAGAGAATCCTTGCCTTGCCTGTGTAGTCTAAAATATAGGCCTGGTCTTGATAAAAGTATGCCCGGAGTTAAAAGTTATCATTCATGACTGAACAGTTGTTTTGCTAAGCTTTAGGAAAGTAGTAGATAGAGACTCAATGGATCTTACCTTGGCCCGTTTAGTTGAGTCTAAAATATATGGCTGCAATTCAGCGAGATGTGAGGGATCACACAATTTACTGCTGCATTATTATCTGCTTTACAGTGTAAATTGAAGCTTCTTTTGGTAATAGTTGCAGTATGCAATTTGATTTTCATTTGGCAATTTGGTTCTTCTGTTATTTTATTTCTATTGTGTAAACCAGTGATTTTTTAAGGATGTTTTTGCTGTCTGAACAATACATTTTCTTTAAAAGAAACATGTCAGATGATGCTGTTTTTTTTTATCATTAGCCAACTGATAATTGAAAGAACTAGCAGTTGTCGTGTTATGTTTTTTTGAATTTCAACATGTATTCCTTGATGATATAGCTACAATATAATTGAGGATTGGGAATGTGATACCAAGTAATGTATTCCTTGATGATGATCTGGTATAGCTACAATATAATCGGGGGTTGGGAATGTGATGCCAACTATTTTGGTGACTGAACCTTGTTGGCTCAAATAAATGTTACCCAGTATGATCAATATGCTTCTGGATATGAATTGGGACCTGTTATGCTTTGCAGTTGTATTGATGAAACTACAACTTAAGAACTCATCATTATCTGGTGTTGCTTTGCTTATTTAGGATCGGTGTCGTATCTGGAAAAGCTATATTCGGGCCGCCTCTTGAGGAGTACTGGAAGAAGAAGCTTCAGGAGGAAGCAGCTGCAAAAGAGAAAGAGAATGATGTAAGCTCCCCATAGGGCAAACCAAAAGTGCAGATGCAATCCATACATTTGTTCGCGATTCCGTTTCCACATTACTGTTCTTGCTTCATCTTCTTGGCCCCAAGGGACGAGCAAATCATTCAGTTTTTTAACTAGGAACACAAATCTACTGCCATAAAAAACAGTCTGTACATAGACCATGAGAAAAAACCTGGGAAGTTGAATTTCTAATTTTCTATAAATGTTTGTTTTTCGCCAATCTCTTTTCTCAGATGTGATTGATTGGAAACGAAAGAGAAATAGCTGCCTAATCGAATGGTATGCTTATTATATTGAAGAATCTGACGAGATTCTCTTCCCAGGAATCTGTGTCGGTGTGGTGAACGTTGATACACACCAGAGCCAACAACTGCGGAGCTGCCACGCGTCAAGTGCGTACAACACCGTTCCATATTGACCACTCTCGGGGCACATCAACATAAAGCGGCTCACCGCTATCCACGATTCAACGTTTTCCCATATTTTACATGCTGACGCCTCTTTAGACTTGATAAACCGAAATCCTCTCCGCCAGAATTGCTATTCCGGGATGAACTATTCCACGAGGTTAACTACAAATTGCTATAACCAAATATACCCTGTAGGTGAGGAGTCTGATTTTTTTTTTTTTCTTTGTTAATTCGTGTTTAAAAAGGAGTGTAACTTACCATCACCGAGCATCCCCTAACCCGGAGAATAATAGTCTGGTCTTGATGCGAAACCAAACACAGATTAGGATACCCAGCCACCATCACAAACTAATGAAATTTTGAAAGGTTTGGTGGGCCATGTATATGCATCACACATGCACGTGTATATATAAAACATATATCTATAGAAAACTGCTGGTGTTTCAATTGGTGTGAACTCCTGAAACCTACATATTTGGCTCTCTCTCTCTCTTTCTACAAGAAAAGTTCCCAGATCAGCACAAAAGAGTATTAAGGCACAATTATAGCGTTCTCTCTCACCTAGCAAGCAGCTTAGTTTTCCCAGGTAATCTTTACGTGAACAATCCATTGCTCTCATCTTTCCTTTCTTATTCTTCTGGGTAATAAGGTAAACAATTTATGGTTTCAAAACTCAAGATTTTAAGAATTTTCTGTATGGTTGAAAGATTATATGTTGTGATCACATGTTATGTGTAAGTTCTTCACATATTTGGAAGTGAATTTGTCTCAATGTTCAAGAAAGTTAAATTGAATCTGCTTACTTTTCCATGGAATTATAATGTAGGAATCAAGAAAATGAGTGCTTGTAGCTTTCAACTAATTTTATAGTGTTTTTAGCTATTTTTCTTCATTCAAATGAATATAAAGGTGAATATGAAGTATGGGAAGCAACAGGTTTGACATATATATGCAGAATTCTGATTGAGATTCATTGCAGGATAACTGTTAAAAGCCTCTCAAGGAATGGAGATAGGTTATAAGCCTTATATTGATCCCGAGGTCCAAACGCTTATTGAGAGAATTCACCCTCCCAGGTTCAACTTCAACTGCTTTTGGTTTAGCCATTTAAGTATGCAGATTAAACCAGTTAGCTTCTCTTGAATCTTTATTCTTGGATATATTTTTCAGGATTTGCATTGACAATGATGCATTCCAAGACTGCACACTTGTGAAGGTCAGTTTCTTGTTTCATCCTCAGATGCATGTTTGTGTGATCAGTGTTGGATGTAAGGTCAGATTCCATTGTAGGTGTGAACAGCAAACAGCTAAGGAAGAGAGCACCCACTGTTTGTGGATAGTTTAAGACTTAAAGTTGCATTTTATTCATTAATTATAGTCAGATGACTGCTTACGCATGTCTTAACATTGGTTAGGCTGCTATTATTTATTGATATTTCAGGTCTCTATTCAAGCAAATGGGCAATTGCTACTTTTTGCCCTTCACTGGGTCCCTCACCACAATACAGATTTTTTTGCATAACAATTTCCAGCCAGTCATTTACATTTTACAGTAACCATTCCTCAACGGGTGTTGCACACTTGCACTTGAAAGAGATGAATTCAACAAAGTTTTACGATTTTGAAAAACCTATAGCCCACCAGATCATATGGTCACACTTTAAACATACATGTGCAGTCACACTCTCATTCACTTTGAATGCTAGTTGTTGCAGATATTATTATGGTGATAATAATGTGTAGGGGAAAATTTACATGTCACATGGTTCACCACTTCACCCTTTGCTTTTATAAAGCAGAGACCAACTTTTGGCTGGTGGAACTTGGAAGGAGTGATGTTTACTGAATAGTCTCAAAGTGGTGAAGATAACGGATACTTATACGCCCCCCCCAAAAAAAAAAAAAAAAAAAAAAAACCTTTGCAAGTCTGTAATATGCTATGCATATTTGTTGATTTACACTTTTGGATCGCAGGTTGATAGTGCCAATAAGCATGGGGTACTGCTGGAGATGGTTCAAGTTTTGACAGATCTTGACCTAGTGATTTCCAAATCATATATCTGCTCTGATGGTGGTTGGTTAATGGATGGTTAGTCCCCTCTCTCCATCTGCCATAGTTTTTTTACATCATGAATGAACAGAATGATGGGGTTCTCAATATTTAATTATATTTATGTAATATAAAACAACTTTCTGATCAAGACCTGAGTCAGCCACAACTACCTTTGTTTCTCTATTCATGTGGGACTGTTCTAATTGCATGTTTGCCAGTATTCCACGTGACAGACCAACTGGGATACAAAATTGTCGATGAAAGCATCATCCATTACATCCAGCAGGTTTGTGTAGCCATTTTTAACTTCCACCTGCCCAGCTTTCTTCAGTTGATTTAACTACAATCATCTGGAAGCTTAAAGCAGATAATGGATTGAGTTAACTTGATTATTTTAACAGGCCCTATGTGAAAGTAGGAGGGGGTCAAGGGAGATCCAAACCTTTATTGGTAGAGACGTTAGGCCCCGATATGTCTTGACAGAACACACAGCTTTGGAAATGACAGGAACAGACAGGCCAGGGCTAATGTCAGAAATATCAGCTGTGCTAGCTGAGATGGGATGCCACATATCTGCTGCCGTGGCATGGACACATAATGCACGGGCAGCATGCATAGTCTACGTGGAAGATGACTCAAAGCATGGCCCAATCACAGACCCCTACCGTGTGGCCCAAATCCAGGCACAGCTGGAGAATGTTGTTGAGGCCCATCACTATAACGGGGAACGCCGGAGTGTGAGGCTGTCAGACCCTGCTGCAAGCCGGACACATACTGAGAGGCGCCTCCACCAGTTAATGGCGGCTGATAGGGACTATGAGCAGTGTTGCCCCTGTCGTGAAAATGGTAATGAAGGAGGTGAAAAGCACAGCCAGGAAAGGTGTAATAACAGTGAAACAAGCATAAAAATAGAAAACTGTAAAGAGAAGGGATACAGTATAGTTACAGTATGGAGTCGAGACCGGCCCAAGTTGCTCTTTGACACTGTCTGCGCACTCACCGACATGCAGTATGTTGTTTTTCATGCATCCATTAGCTCTCATGATTCCACTTCAGTTCAGGTAAGAAGTCTACTTGTTGAGTTGTTGATCATTAACCTCTCTACTTTGTCTTTTAACCTCATTCTGAAAATTCCAGGAATATTACGTAAGGCACAAAGATGGATGCACTTTGAATTTGGAAAGTGAAAGACGCAGAGTTACCCAATGCTTGATTGCAGCCACAGAAAGAAGAGCCTCTCATGTATGTTGCACTTATGAATGATACACCCACACTTCGATCAGCATAAGAACAACGTTCCAAGTTGTTAGTCCCTAACTTATGCTGATCGGGGCATGAGCATGGGCGTAGCAAAAGTGTTTTATCTCATAGAGAATTGAAATTGCACTAACGATAGTCATATGATGGATGCAGGGACTAAGGCTAGATATCTGCACTCAAAACAGGCTAGGGCTGTTATCAGATGTCACAAGGGTTTTCCGAGAAAATGGATTATCCATTACCAGGGCTGAGATTGGAACACAGGGCGAGAGAGCAATAGGCACATTCTACGTAAAAGATACTTCGGGGCAGAGTGTTGACCCAGAAACACTGGAATCTGTTAGACAAGAAATTGGAGGTACCGTTAAGGTAGTTCACAAATCCTCAGGTAGGTTTACTAAGGCCACTTCATCTGGCAATAGCACAAGCAGGAGTCGTAGGAGCAGCGGGGAAGATGGTAAGCCCGGGTTTTCGTTGGGAAGCTTGCTGTGGGCACAGCTTGAGAGACTTTCAAACAACTTCCGAGTTCCGACCCATAAAATCCTAAACTAGCATACTAGTTTCTTTATTGTTCATTCCATGGGAGCAGTGGGAAAGACGAGAAGCCTGGGATTTCACTAGAAAGCTTGCTGTGGGCGCAGCTCGAGAGACTTTCAAACAACTTCAGACCCATAATACCCTGAACCTGCACACTAGCTTCTTTATTGTCCAATCATCTGTAAACAAGAGAATCCCGTGTATAGAAATTAGAATCCTCTTCAGACTGTCTTCTCATGCCTTTTTAGATTGTGTATATAATGAATTAACCAACTTCTCTTATCATTTAACAATTACATCAACATCAATCGGTATTTGTAGATGCATCATCTGAGCTATTCTTTAATTGAACCCAGTTCATGAGTCTTCTTACCAGAGCTCCAGTGCCACATAATTATTCTCTTCTTCAAGATCGGTTTACTCTATATGTCTTTATGATGTGTCGATTAGATTATAGTAGACGACCCTGTCACTAATTGATTTTTGCTAAGCTAGTTTTCTTTTCTTTTCTTTTGCACTCAAACCAAACAAAAAGCAGGCAACTTTATGATGATTTTCATAAATGCATAATTACTGTTTATGGAATGTACACTCAAAGACAAAAACTGACCTTCACCCTCAGGCAAATGAAAATTCAGCCAGTTTGACGGTCGGGAAGTGGTTTCCTCGAAATCCTGCCGAGGTTGCGGCGTAAGAATTGTGACCCAACGAGGCTTTAGGGTTCCGATAAACTCAGAGAGGTCCTGTCTGACGCCTCCGTCGTAACCCCAAACTACAAGACGATGGATCATCTGACTCTGAGCTTGGTTCGATTGTGGGATCAACATTGGAAGCAGAAACATTGTTCGTTTTCTTCGCCATCGTGAGTAAGATGAACACAAGTGACCGGAAGTTAAGATATCGCCGGAGGTGATTTCAGAGATGCAGATTGCAGGCGACAAGACAGCCAAATTCCGAAACTTTACGGATTCACTGTTTTCATGGATAAAATTATACATTTACTTTATTAAGGATGTGTTTGGTTAAAATATTGAAATTGGAATGATAGTCTAATTAGATATTTGGTAATGATAATGTGTTTTAAGTATAATGAATCACTTTGTTTGGTAGTCATAAATTGGAATGGTAATTTGCTTTTTGACTACTCAATTTCTTACACGGTCGTCGCTCCTGTGAAGCAAGTAGATCAGAGACGGTGTCCAATCATCTTTCCCCTGCCGCTATCTCCACCGCAGACAGTGTCCACCTTCATTGACTTCTCTGCCTTCACTATTTTTTCTTTCATTCTCCGCCTTCGCACGAATATTTCCCTTTACTTTGTTTTACTGGTTTAATTTTGTTTGTCGTTTCTGTGTTTTTTCTCTCGTTGTTTTGACGAGTTACTTCCTCTCGTTTACTTGGCGAGTTCTTTTTTCATAAAGCGTGAAACGATATAATTGGTCATGGCGTATGTGAATCTCATCTTGGCTGACAAACATGACAATGAAAAAGAGACTCCTTTGAACTATGATATGCAGTTCAGCCCGGTAGAGATATTGTCAATGGATAGAAGAATAGAAATAGACTCAATTGGTGTGCAAAACTATTCAACCACTGTCAGTCTTGGATACGTTTGACCAAATCATTAAAGAAGCTTTAAGTTCCTCCAAAGAATCCAGCTTCAAATTTGTGAAACAGTCTGCGAATCAAATTTTCTTTAGCATTGCTACGAATGTTGTTTCTTTGTCTGACGGTAAAGAATGTTTAACCATTCCATCAATTTTAATTGTAAACGTTTTAGTCTAT